GAGACAAAAAGAACGACAGCTTTGTTTCTTGGTGGTCCTGGTCAAATCTATTTGTGCGTGTCTGCCAGCTCTGACGCATACGTCTCATGAGTGTTCCTGGCCAGACGGTCATTGACCATAGCTACATAAAAACCCCAAATCCCACTGACAATTAATTTTAAAATTGAGCCTGGTGCAAGCATAAGATTATTCTTCCCTAACGGACTATTGGCATGCCAAGCAATGTGAAATGTCCACAGATCTATGGAAGACAGGCAAAGGACAATCCCATAACATGCTGCTCATTTGCCCAGCCTGTGTAGAGACCTTTCACTCTGAAACCAGGCTGCTGATGGTACACTTAGGAAGCAAGTGTACCATTTAGTCTCCCCAAATCCAGACAGCTACATCAATTCTGTTTTTTCCTAAAATGAAAAACTGGCTTTAACATATGCTCCCTACTTCTGCTGTGGACTCTTCTGTAGGTTGAAAATAGGTTCTCTAACATCTTATTTCCAGCATCCAGTAGGTGGAAACATCCAAAAAATCCATGCCCAGTGTGACTGCACCAATCCTAAAAGGAATAAGTGCTAAATTTGTATTGAGCCCTACATAAAAACCCCTTTCTGATCCCACAGTAAGCTAATAACTTGTCCATTAATTAACACTCCCAAATACATACATATACATAGTCACACACAGAGCTTACCTCATGCATATGGAGAGACAAACCTGCCTTCAAGTTTTCACTGGATACACCCATTCATCCAGGCATTCTTTTAACACTGTCATGGTCCTGCCTGATCTAGTCTGAGAATCTCTCCTGTAGGAATACAGACCACTATCTGAGCTGCACATCAAACAGTTCCAGAATATTCCTGTAGCGCAAGGACTAGGGATGTTAAATTTTGATTAATCAGCTAATCAAGGAATCAAGCTACTTGATTAGTCGATAAGGGGGAGCTGCGCTTCAGCCGCCCGTGCCTCTTGCTACATTTCAAAGGCTGACGTACTGCAGTATCCCTCTGTTCTTCTGCCTTTTAAATGTAGTGAGAGCCCATAGGGCTCTTTGCTACTTTTCAAAAGCAGAAGCACAGCAGGGAGTACAGGCAAGCAAGGGACTCAAGTCCCTGTGTCCCCACTGCAGTTGCTTCAGCCTTTGAAATGTACAAGAGCACATATGGCTTTCAAAAGCTGAAGTGCACCAGTCAGAACTGGCAGGAGCCGGGACTGTTTCAGTCCCTGCCCGTGCTGTTTCTTCATTGTGACTTTGCCTTTCCTGCCCCCTGCAGAGACGGTGCTGGGGGGAATTGGCTTTTAAGCTGGCTCCCCCATCACCAGCTCCTGCTCTCTCCTTCCCCCCACTGTGATAGAGATGGGGGGAGCAACTAGTCGAGACACCACTCAACTATCCAATAAGCTTATGCTTATCAGATAGTCGACTAGTTGCTTAGGGTTGCTGCAGTATTTGTGGCATTCTTTGGAATAAGGGACAGGAGTCTTAAAATGGCTTTCCTTTTATATTGGCAAAGTATAGGTGAGCCTCTGACTAAAACCAAATCTGAGTGGCTGTTGGAGTGCTTGTAGGCTGGGTCCCCTCTTACCATGGACCAATTCCTCTTCGTGCTTCCCTAATAAAACTCCCCACATCACTCTGCAAATTCTGTCAATCACAACAGAACCCCAAATGTGACCTACTATGGTAGATGCTGCCAGCTTGTGGTGTGCCAGTCACACTGTATATTTTACCACCAGGAGCTTTTGGCTGTGGGCCAATCTTGGGGGGAGTGGGTGGGAATGCCTTTCATAACTTTGAACTCATTAAGACTTGCTTTGAAGACCTAGAGTTCTCTGTCAGCATTTAAGGCTGATGGGAAGCCATGATTCCACAAAGGACAGGATGTTGATAATCAGTTTTAACTGTCAAACAGCATTACTTACCAGGATCTGCCCTTCTAAAATTGAAATAGAGCATTGGCACAAACAGTATCAATATCAAGAATTCCTTGTGGTGAAACTATTTAATAGCATATTGTACAACAGACAGTCCCACAACCTCTGCATTAGCTGCACAGACTTTACTAAGTGGCAGCTGCTGCTGTGTACACCCAATTCAAGCCACTGTTTAGGCCATTTTTGAAAACTTCAATTATCTTGATAATTTCAAAATCTGAGAACACCAGTTGCATCCTTTTATCTCTAGTCTGCTTTCTGCACTATACTGAACTCCTTCTAAAACATCCTTCAGTTTCTTTCCCTTTCCTACCCCCCCCCCCAAAATATCTTATTGGTTACAATGACAAATGGTTGCTTCACATCTAAGGTGGTAGCGATTAGGTTTTCCTAGAATGCCTGTTGGGCATTACCACCTTACAGCCAGGTTTGAATGGCTTATGATTATCTGTAGCAGTTTTGTGAGTCTGCTGCTTTTAACAGCTTTTAGTTCCCTGCATCAATACTCATGAACCTTCTAATTATTCCCCAGGGATGTGTGAATCACCTTTTGCTGTGTCTAATTCTATGCCAGATATGTCAGTTGCTGCATGTGGAACCTTCTGTCCCTTTCCAGTATAGCTTAAAGGGAACCCCAAACATTCTGCAGTTTGCTGAAAGGCTCCTTGCATCTTGACATATTCACCTGAGTAGGGTCAGACTAAGAAAGGGGCTTTATGGCTGCAGCCCAGTCAGGGGCCACTGCTCAGGAAGGACATGGGGTAGGGTGGCACTGACCATGTGATCGTCCCCCAACGGATTCCTCCTTGTGACAGCCATAGCTCAGGGGAGGGCTGGGTCAATACCCACCCACCTCTTCCCTGATCTGCCCCCATATTGCCTTTCCCTCAAGCCCCCTCCTCTGAACAACATGGCCTGGGCAATTAGTTGGGGCCTGGCACCAGCAGCAGGGATCTGGCCCTGACACATCTACCAGAAGGTGGGGAAAAGTGGAGTGACATGGCCCTAGCTCATTTTGCTCCCTTGGCTTCCATCCGTGTTGCTCTGCTTCTTGCCAGCGAATATGTTGGGGAGGGAATCATGTTGCTCCCCCATTAGTACTCTAGGCCACCCGAAGTCTCAAGCCCTGGCCCCTCCCAATCATCACGTTGGGGGGGGGAGGGTCATGCATCCTCTCAGACCCCCTCACTCATCACCCCCGAGTCCAGGGCCCCAACTAAGAGGCACCACAAAGATTGCTGAGGTGTTGAAAGTGTAGATCTTTTTGTGGGGCCTCCTTAGCTTGTGGCTCTGGGCTGCTGCCACTAAAAGCCCCTGTGTTCCTGCTCTGCCTGGAAGGGAGAGCGGGGAGAATGCAGCTTGACATCCTGCCATTCACCCTTCACTCCTAGCTGGAGCTGCAAGTGCTATGAAGCTCAGGCCTTTTCCTCCCTTACCAACAAACTCCGCCCCAACAGCTCCCATTAGTCAGGAATTGACCCAACCCTCCTCAATTTATCACCCCCTCCTGTATTCTGAACCCCTAACTTTTGTCCCCATCCTAAAGCCTAGGAGTTCCCACAAAATCTAATAGCCCCAGACTCCTAGAAGAGTTAATCTGGTCATGCACCTGACCTATACCCCTCTATTATTTGTACAACTTCCAGTTCACTGATCAACCAGGGGTAAACACATTGGACAAAGAACAGCCCACTGCAGCATTATACACAAGTTCAAAATCTGGGTGTGATATGGCTAGCTTGTGGGCAGGGCTGTATTTAAGTAATAACATCCCTTAGTCTGAAAATCACACAGACTAAAGTCTTAGTTCTCCCTCAGGCAGATTCACCTTTAATTCACCTTTTGCCAGTTGAGCACCCCAGCCATATTTTTTTTCACATTGCATACAAAAACATGTAATGAGGAGCAGAAAAACAAAGGCAATGGGAGGTTCACAAAGCAGCTTTGGGAGAATAAAACTATTTTCCTAAGGCCCCACCTGTAAAGGGAACAACCAAATATTTGGCATTGCAGCTCCTTATACTGTTATGTTTAAAAGAAGCACCTGGGATCTTTTTCAGGGTGAGAAGGTAACATGCCACATTTATTGAACCTACATAGATCGATCAATATTTTATCCTATGCATATGATACATTACACTTATGCACTCATACACACAGGCACACTCCGTCTTATTGTTACCAATAGTTGCTCCCCCTAACTACACTGGCCAGGTGAGTTAGATGGGGGGAGGGGTGGAGCCTGGCTTCTGCCGATCCGGATCGATGCTCCAATGTTGACAAGACGAAAACCTAGGGTCCCTCTGCAAGATGCCTCATATATATCCCTCTCATGCAGCCAGTTAGTCATCACCTCGCCTTTTTTAATGCTGCTTCAAAGAGGGTCCTTCAGGCACTTGCTGCTTGACTTCCAAGGCCATCTATATGCCGAATCTTCTTTTCAATGAGCTCACTTCACAACTCTCTTAGGGTATGTCTACACTACCCTGCTAGTTCGAGCTAGTGGGGTAATGTAGGCATACCGCACTTGCAAATGAAGCCCGGGATTTGAATTTCCCGAGCTTCATTTGCATAAACTGGGCGCCGCCATTTTTAAATCCCTGCTCGTTCGAACCCCGTGCCGCACGGCTACACGCGGCACGAACTAGGTAGTTCGGACTAGGCTTCCTAGTCCGAACTACCGTTACTCCTCGTGGAATGGACTAGGAAGCCTAGTCCGAACTACCTAGTTCGTGCCGCATGTAGTCGCGCGGCACGGGGTTCGAACGAGCAGGGATTTAAAAATGGCGGCGCCCAGTTTATGCAAATGAAGCCCGGGAAATTCTAATCCCGGGCTTCATTTGCAAGTGAGGTATGCCTACATTACCCCACTAGCTCGAACTAGGAGGGTAGTGTAGACATACCCTTATTGTCTTTGGATCTGGCTCCCAGCCCCTCTCTACCCTTGCAATTGCAGATGTAGGTGCTCCCCTTTCAAGGCTTCTCCATTCACATTTCATTCATTTCAACAGGACAATCCATGAAAGGGGAAAGATCTATTCTCCTAGAAAGACATTTTTCTTTACCTTAACTGTTCCTAAGATTTATGCATAAAGGGCTGGATACAAAGTTTTTATGGAAAAGACTGGATACAAGGTTTCCCTTAATACAAGGGATTCTATAAGAAAACTTAACATAAAGATATATTTAAAAGGACAAGATAGATAAGGACTTACAAAATTTCTCTTTAATACAAAGTTATGAGAATGATACATGGTTATATGGAAATTTTACAGAGATTTATCCACAATACTTTCCCACCAACTTCAGCTACAAATTCTTGTTTGTAGTTGGCCCTAATCATGTGGTCCAGCCCCCAATTTGGCTTCAATGTCTTGGAGAGAGATTTTTTTATATAAACCAACTCCCTGTGATAAGGGATTAAAAACCTGCCTGTTAATCTCTGATATTTATTCTGTTGGAATAAACCAGCATATCTAATTTAATGAAGATTAGGCTTTTTAACATTACTTTTTCTACTTCCTGTCTTTGGGTGCCTTGAGGATCTCCGTGCTTTCCTCTGAGCTGAGCTTTTCCTCTATCACTGAATGCTGTGCTGGCCTTCACACTTGTCACGCATTTGTTTAATTTTGCAAGAGAAATAAACACTTCCTTCTCTCTTGCATTTGTGCTTTCCTATCATTGGAAGAATCGTGTGAACCGGTTTGGTTGGAGTTGAGGCAAAACCCTTTGTCCAATTCTGATATGGATGCCTCCGCTGGGCATAGCCTGTGGAACCCCCCTTTTCTGACACCATCTGTACCTTACCATCTTCCACACCCTAAGTGCCCTCTAAAATGGTGGGTAGGAATGTCTACCACCACCCTGTTATTTATACTCTACTCCACTCTCCCCAACTCCAAACCATGAAGGATCTTCGGGTGCATTATAGCTGGGAGAGAAGAAAGTTAGGGGCAGTCCTTCATAACTGCCATCTAATCAGAAGCACACACCCCTCTTATTAAGATAGGAAGGGGAAACAATGGCATCATGAAAAGCCAGTATACTTGCAATTTCCCCTGCATGTCCTCCTCCTCCCCATTAGAAGAACAATCCAGAACAGCCTAACTTCCTTTTCTAATTCAACCAGTGCACATCATTTTGTTTCAAATATAGCCCAGGAGTAAGTTGCCTAAATAGTAGTTTGTCTAATGTTCAGAAAGATTCACAATTCCACAATCTCATAGGGAGAAATTAGGAACTTGTGCTCCTTGAAAAATGTCCTTGTAGTTCAAGCCTCTGAAGAAATCTCCTTTGAATTACATATCTTGTGGTCTTTTATTGTGAAGACCTCTGCATTCAGTGCTCTTCTTCCAAAACTCCAGGCAGGCAGCAAATAGCATGGTTTAAAATTTTTAGAAAGTTGGAGAAAGACCATTTTTTTCCAGACACTGTTCTTATCAAAACCCAGAAATTCAGATATTACTCTACTTCTGCAGCTCATAGCAGTGCACTTCTAGAGAGTTCTCCAGGTTCTAAAATCAGGCTAATAAAATAATCAGCACTGTCTGTTTGCTACTTTGTCTTCAATTTCCTCTCCTCCTTTAGGACATACCCTGACTTTAATATCTCTCCCTCTTCCCAACACTGATGAGCTCTCACAGGTGAGGAAAAAGTAGTTGCTAAATTTCAAATTTAGTTCTCGTTAGTAAAAATTATGACTCCTAAACTAGTTTTCTGTTGCATCTGTCAGCCTTGCCAATGCATATAGTACAGGTTGAACCTCTCTGGTCTGGCAACATCCGTGGTCTGGTATGACCATGGCTGTTGCTGGACCAGAGAGATCTGGCTTTGGGCTGCAGAGTGCTGGTGGTCCTGGGACTGGGTGTGGAGCTCCAGCAGCCCAGGGAAGAAGAGCCCTGATGGCCTGCAGCTGGCCATGGAGCCCCAGTGGCCCTGGGGCTGGCCTAGGAGCTGGGAGCCCGAGTGCTCAGGGCAGGGAAGCCTGTCTGAGGGGCTGATTCCGTGGTCCAGGAATCTCCCTCCTTCAGGACTGGTCAGGTCCCCAGGGTGCCAGACCAGCAAGGTCCAACCTGTATTTGGCTGTGTTTTTTTTTTTTTTTTTTTTTTTTTTAAGCCCCAGTTTCTGGAGGCATGCAATTGTCAGAATCTCAACCTTCATTTTAAAATCAAATGTCCAGTCCTCATAGATAAAGAGCAAAACTATATGGCAAAGAAGAAATAACCCAAAATGTACTTTTGAAATCTTACGATTTCAGTGGGCGTGACTCATGACTTGTGAATGCTTGGGGATGGTGATACTGCTAGTTTGACCATCAAAGATAATTTATTATTTGTTCACGGAGACGAAAAGATATTTTAAAAAAAAACTCTTCAGATAGTATCTTGATTTTAATCAAATGTCTTCACATGTTCTTCCCCTGCTCTGGTAGGCTTATCTTACCCTCTGACAATCCCTATCCTTCGTTACAAGTGCCATAGTTAAATCTTTTTTTTTAAAAAGGAATTCTGTTAACTTGTGCAAGTTGAATGCCTGAATATTTAAGCATGCCTTTCTATCACACTGGTAACTTAAAGGTCATCCCTTCGCTAATGATACCACTGTACCAGAGTTTAACAGCATTGGCTCGCTTTCTCTTCTGTAATTTTTTGTAAATGTATAGTAACTACACATTACACCGGCTTTCCTTACTCAAAAACAGCTTGATTTTATATTTGTTCAGCAGCTGTATTTGTGACTTTATAACTCCACTTGAATTTGAAATATGTATTTTAGGAGAATCTGATCTCAATGAAGCAATAACGGAAGCCGGAAAAACATATGAAGAAATTGCTAGTCTCGTGGCAGAACAGGTATAAAAACTAATAGAATATAGAATGCAAGTCAGTCCAATACACATTCCATGACCACATACAATGGGATTTGATCACTTTTCCCTTCTGTTTGGATTTTTACAGGATTACTTAATACGTTTTACATCCATAAGAAATCAGTATTTTTTTAACCACTTTTTAAAATTGCTTTCTAATTTAAGTGTTCTAATAACTTACTTTATGAATTATTTCTTTTCTGTCAATTCAGAGAATTTTGCTAGATCTGGGCCTTTAAGAGATCAATTTGATCATCACAACAACTGATTAAATGCTGAGTTTTTTGTGTTAGGCTATGCTGTCTATTCTAGGTCTCCCACTGGTACTAATACCATTAGGCAATGATGGAAAAATCTCTCAAACAGTCTTAGTATGGATAGTGGCCTTTCGTGTGATGGTTTCTCACATATTCCATTAGGTTTAAATTTAAATTGCCTAATTTAAAAATATATTCTGAATCTACATCAGTGTTCAGGCTGTAAATTTGGCTTTGTTTAGGACCTGTTATCTGTGATGTAGCTAGTGATTAGTCTCCAGAGTCCAAATCCATTGTTACGTTTCAAAGTGATTTGTGTTTTTAAAGAGAGTTCTGGTTTTTTTTTGTTTGTTTTTTTTAAGATTATAACTGGTTGAGTACATTTGAGTAACTGGAGGTGGGTCTGCATTCTCTGAAGTCCCTGAACTTCTGTTCCCTAATGCATCCAATTATTTTTAATATACAAAGATGATCTTCACTACCTTTTACATGTATTCCAGCTAAATATTGGACATGAAAGTGTTTTTCAAAATCCATACATTTATTCTAGCCTTTATTTAGAACTAGCAATTTTTACATGTCAGCAAACAAACTTAAAATCTTTCTTCTCGTGTTTATAATTACATTGAACCTCCTTACTCCCGCCATCCTGGGAAACAAGGTTTGCCGATTAAAGATTTTGCTGGACTAGGGAAGGAGTGAGGGAGGTGGGGGTAGGGCGCTTACCCATGGCTCTGAACCACTATGGGAGTGTTGGGGGTAGGGGGGGGAGAGGAAGAACCTCCAGCAGACCATGTCACTGCACTGCCATTCCCCTAGCTAGGCAGGAGGAGGAGCGGCAGTGCACAGAGCCACTTTCCCCCTCCACCTGCTAGGATAGGTACCAAGAGTGTTTCTGAAATAGGAACCCCCAGAGTATGGACGTTATTGTGTTCCTTTTTTTAATTTTGCCTCTGGATTTTCTTTGGCCTTAAAGAGCTGTATTTAATAGGTATAATTTTCTGTTAAATTCTGACCTAAAGAAACATGCTTGCTATATTAACTAATTGCTGAATTCTCTTTATTAGCCAAAGAAAGATCTCCATTTTCTGATGGAAACGAATCATGAATACAAGGGATTTCTTGGTTGCTTCCCTGACATTATAGGAGCTCACAAGGTAACTTTTTTTTTTTTTTTTCTCATGAGAAATGAGGGTAGTTTGCAGGCTGGATGAACTTTTGGCATAGTAGGGAGTAAAAAGGGAGGAGTGTGCATGTGTAAAATCAATACTTTACCTATCCTGCACTCAGATACTCAATTTGCCCATACTTTAATGTCATTGTTGCTAGAAACTTGCATGAAGACATCAATAGAATCTTTGTAAATGAGGAATTCTCAGTGGGAGGAGATTTTTAAAGGCCTTTTAATACTATTTTTAACATTAATGTTCATGAAATCTCTAATTCTTCTTCGAGTGGTTGCTCATGTCCATACGAAGTAGGTGTGCGCACCGCGTGCACCGCGTCTTCCGGAGCGTTTTCCCTAGCAGTACCCGTAGCGCCGGCAGGGCGCCCCCTGGAGTGGTGCCGCCATGGCGGGGCATAAGTACCCCTGCCGGCTCTGCCCCACCTCTTTTCCTTCTTACCGCAGTGACGGTCGTTGGAGCGTCTCTATCTTTCTTAGCCTTCTAGTTAGTTAATGGTTCCCGTTCTCACATTGCTTTGTAAATAGTTCTTGTAGTTAGATAGTTAGGTTTTTTGTTTTGTTCCTTCCCCGTTGGGGGTAAGGAATGTCAGGGCTGCAAGGCTTCAAAACGTGTGCTGACTGTGGGAAGTTTATGCCCAGGGGCGACCCACACGACATTTGTCTTCAGTACTTGGGTGAGGCACATCTGGCTATTGCCTGTAAGATCCGCAAGTCCTTTAAGCCCTGTACCAGAAAAGAAGGGGTTTCCCGCCTGAAGCTTCTCCTCACGGAGACAGTGCTTCAACCGGTGCCGCCGGAACAGCCTGCGGTGCGCAGTGCACCGGCTTCCACGCGGGAGGCTCCTCACCGGCACTGTGCGTTGGCGTCGAGGTCTCGGCACCGGTCTCACTGTCCTCAGACTAAGAGAGTGAAGAAATGGCAGGGAGGGTCCCCTTCGAAGAAGGCAACTTCAGCTGGGCACCACACCGTGGGCTCACCGGTGCGCGTATCGCCCCCACCGCACCGTCGGCACCAAGGAGGCCTCGATAGTCCTGGTCGCCTGCCTCCACACCATCCGTCCACGCCGGATACGTTCCAGGCAGTGCAGGACCTTATTAGCCTCACGACCTCCCCTCCATCCTTGGTTGACTCGGAAGGGTCGAGGTCGCCATTGTTGGAGGCTCGGCTGGCTACGGCTTCGCCCCAGCATGGCCCAGGTCGGCATGCTAAAGTGGCTTATGCAGTACCGATGTCTACTTCGGCACCCTTCTCAACGCCGAACTGTCATTCTCAGGGAGTTTCCAGCCATGCGCGAACTTCGCTGCAGATGAGCTCCTTGCCAGCTCCCCGCCTGGTGGTGCCGGTGCCGTATCTGAGTAGCCATGTGGCGTCCACTCAGACATCTCTCTCCTCCATGGAGGTCACCCAGGAGCTGGCGTCCGTCTTTGTGCCTTCATCTGCACCGGCATTGATGCAGTGGTCTCAACAGGCACCGGGCCTGGGTACCCCGGTGCTGCAACTGCCAGCCGCAACTCAACCTGCACCGAGCCTGAGCACCCCAGTGCCGCAGCTGCTGGCGACTCAACCGGCACCGGGCCTGAGCACCCCAGTGCCGCAGATGCTGGTCAGTACCAATCGCTACTGCGGCACCCTTCTCAACGCCCAACCGTCATTCTCAGGGAGCTTCCAGCCATGTGCGAACTTCGCTGCAGTTGAGCTCCTTGCCAGCTCCCCACCCTGCGGTTCCAGCTGGCGTCCGTCTTTGTGCCTTCATCTGCACCGGCATTGATGCAGTGGTCTCAACAGGCACCGGGCCTGGGTACCCCGGTGCTGCAACTGCCAGCCGCAACTCAACCTGCACCGAGCCTGAGCACCCCAGTGCCGCAGCTGCTGGCGACTCAACCGGCACCGGGCCTGAGCACCCCAGTGCCGCAGATGCTGGTGACTTATCAGGCACCGGGCCTGGGCACCCGGTGCCACAGCTGGCGATGTCGCAATCTGTACCAAGTCTGGGCTCGCCGGTACCACAACTGGGTGCCGTAGAACCCTTGGCACCAGGTCGGGGTCCCCCGGTGCCGCAGATCGCTTGGCCCCACCATACTCATGTGGGTAAGCCAGAGTCCATGGCAAGGTTTGCCCCGCACTCTTCCTCGGTTCCACCATGGCTGGAGTCCGATTACTCTTCAGACTTGGATGCTGTCTCCGTCTGTTCGGGCTCTTCGGGAGCATCCTCGGCCCATAGGTCCAGGTCTAGGCATAGGAGGGACTACACTCAACAAACGTGGCCTCTGCACCCGCAGTGGCCTTTCTGGACCCCCTGGGCCTACCATCAGTGGCAAGGTCAGCTGCCTCCTTCTCTGGGGTCGGGGACTTCAGGGCACTGATCCCAACCGTCGGTGTGCCTGTCCCGGGCTCCTCCCTCCCCTCTTCGGGCGCTGCAACCCAATCCAGCGGCACCGCAATCATCGGCACCGGAGGTGGACCCATCGGGAGCGCAAGTCGCCCAGACGGCACCGCAGTTGGCGACAACTGTTCCTGTGCCAGTGCAGGAGTCCTCGTCGTCTCCGGACAAGGCACTAGCAGACCCTGCACCGAGTCTGCCGTTAATGGATCCCGCACGCACCAGGACCTCCTCTGCCGCATGGCTTCCAACCTGGCCGTTACGGTGGAGCCTGTCATCGAGGACACGGATCCAATGGTGGACATCCTCACTGAAGATATGCCTACGCGATTGGCCTTACCTCTGAACAAAATGGTGTCAAAGATTAGCGATGCCCTGTGGCAAATGCTGGCAACCTTGACCCCTATCTTAAAAGGGGCCGAGAGGCATTATTACGTCCCAAACTCGGGGCATGAATACCTTTATTCACTATCTATCCCCGGGTCCTTGGTCGTACAAGCCGCGGCCCAAAAGGAAAGACTCCCTCAGCCTGGTCCTTCCCCAAAGGCAAGGGAACCTAAGCGGCTGGACCTGTTGGGCCGTAAGGTTTATGCAACAGGAGCGCTGCAACTCCGCATCGCGAACCAGCAGGCGGTGCTAAGCAGGTATGCTTTTAACACCTGGCAGGCCGTCAAAGTTCCAAGACAGACTCCCTGTGGAGGACCGTCAGGAGTTTGCGGTGGTTGCCTCGGAGGGTAAAGTCATCATGCGGACCACTCTCCAGGTGGCTCTGGACACCGTGGACTCAGCAGCCCGCACGATGGTGACTGGTGTCGTTATGCGTCGGGGGGCATGGCTCCACGTCTCGGGAATTCCCCCGGATGTGCAGCATATGATACAGGACTTGCCTTTTGAGGGCAAAGCTCTGTTCTCGGAGCACACTGTCTCTAGGCTCCGTACCCTAAAGGACACAAGGTCTACCTTGAAGTCCTTGGGCATTCACGCGCCGGCTCCACAGCGCGACAGCTGCCCTATAGCCAGCAGGGGAGGGTGTAGCCCCAGGTCCCTCGTGGGGATTACTGGAGGCGCCGCTCCCGGGCCTCCAGTGGAGGTTCCGGGGCGGCCGTGCACCCTCAGGGCGCTAGGGGTCGACAGCATCGCCCAGAACTGATGCCCAGCGGGGAGGTCCTCACGGTCCTTCCCATCAGGGCAAGTCCCAGTTTTGACGCCCTGTTCGAGAGTCCCGTACCAATCTCCCGCCCTGGCCCCCCGTTTGGGGCCAGGCTATCCCTTTTTGCCCAGGCATGGGCCATAATAACATCAGATGCCTGGGTTCTGAACATAGTGAATGGAGGCTATTTTATCCCGTTCCTAAGTCCGCCACCCTCAAAACTCCCTTCTCCGTCCCTAGTAAGGGACACTCCTCACGAACACATCTTGTGTCAGGAGGTTTCTGCGCTCCTTGAAAAAGAAGCAACAGAGGAGGTTCCTCCGCATCTGCGAGGAAGGGGATTTTACTCCCATTATTTTGTTGTCCCCAAGCCGAAGGGAGGGGTCCGCCCCATCTTGGACCCTCGAGATTTAAACAAGGCAGTCATAAAACAAAGTTCAGAATGGTGACCTTGGCATCGGTCATCCCAGTGCTACAATTCGGAGACTGGTACGCAACTCTCGACCTCAAGGACGCGTACTTCCACGTGGCAATCAGTCCCAGCCACAGGAGGTACCTCAGGTTTATGGTGGCCCAATCCCATTTTCAGTTTACGGTGCTCCCTTTTGGCTTATGTACGGCACCGAGGGTGTTCACGAAATGCATGGCGGTGGTTGCTGCATATCTCCGCAAACAAGGCGTGCATGTGTTCCCGTACCTCGACAATTGGCTGATCCGAGGTCGCTCGTATGGGCAGGTAGAAGCTCACGTGGCACTCACAAGAGCCCTCTTCCTAAGGTTGGGACTCATGATAAATGTCGAAGTCATCCCTGACTCCCTCCCAACAGATAGAATTCGTGGGAGCCCTCCTGGATTTGAGGGTGGCAAGGGCGTTCCTGCCCAAGAGCAGGTTCCTCTCCATAGTGGAGCTGATCTCGGGGTTAGCCCAGTCCCCTATCACGACCCCTCGGGTCTGCTCCAGGCTCCTGGGACATATGGCGGTGTGTACGTTCACGGTCCGCTATGCCAGATTGAGGATGAGACCCCTGCAGGCGTGGTAGGCGAGGGTCTTCAGCCAGTCCAGGGGTCTTTGGGACTCAATAATTACGGTGCCCACAGAAATTCTAGACTCTCTCCTATGGTGGACCCAGGAAACTGTGATATGCAGCAGGGTTCCTTTCAATGCCCCACCCTGACGCTGGTCACCGTTGTGTCTGACCTGGGCTGGGGAGCACACCTGGGGCGGCACAGGACTCAGGGCCTTTGGTCCCCCTCCGAGCGAGCCCTGCACATAAACATCCGGAAATTGCGGGCGGTGAGGAGAGCCTGCGAAGCCTTCCTGCCAAGGCTCTCCCACCGCTTCATCCTGGTTCGTATGGACAACACAGCAGCGTTTTTTTATCTCAACAAGCAGGGTGGGGCGCGATCACCTCCCCTCTGCAAAGAGGCCCTGCAGCTTTGGCACCTGTGCGTCAAGCACGGAATCACACCTCAAGCGGAGTACCTCCCAGGGTGCAAAAACCTGCTAGCGGACACGCTGAGCAGATCCTTTGGAGCCCACGAGTGGACCCTCAAGGACTCGGCTCTCCACCAGGTTTTCCGCAGGTGGGGTTATCCCCGCCTAGACCTGTTCACCTCGGTAAGCAATGCCAAGTGCAGGAACTACTGTTCCCTGCTGGGGCTGGGGAAATATTCCCTGGGGGATGCCTTGACGACCGTGTGGCCAGAGGGCATCCTCTATGCCTTTCCCCCGTTTCCCCTAATTTCCAGGGTATTGACCAGGCGAGGACTTTTCAGTCCTCGATCATTCTCATAGCCCCCAGGTGGCCCAGATAGTTCTGGTTCCCCATACTAGTGGACATGCTTGTCCAGGACCCAATAGCACTCCCTCTAGTCCGGGATCTGCTAACTCAACTCTGGGACAAGGGGATCATGGTTCACCCGGATCTCCGATCTCTCCACCTAACGGCATGGTTTATCCGTGGTTGAACCAACCTGAAAGAGAATGTTCCCAAGAGGTTCAGATGGTTCTCCTCAGTAGCAGGAAACCCTCTACTAGACGGTCGTATGCTACCAAGTGGCGGCGCTTCTCGTCTTGGGCATCCCGGAGAGGAGTACACCCGTCCTCGGCTCCTAGTCCAACTATTCTTGACTACCTTTTCCAGCTTCGGTCCTATCTTTTTCTTCTATCAAAGTCCATGTGGCATCTCTCTCCGCCTTCCACGTTGGTATGGCAGGAGTTTCCCTTTTTTCTAACCCGGTGGTTAAAAGGTTTCTTACTGGCCTGGAAAAACTGTACCCCTCGGTGAGGGCCCCGCTTCCCGCCTGGGACCTTAACGTGGTCCTCCACAGGCTTATGCTACCTCCCTTTGAACCGCTGGCCACGTGTTCACTGTAGCACCTTTCATTGAAGGTTGCTTTCATCATGGCCATTATGTCTCTCCAGCGCCACTGGTTAACTGTAACTTGTAAATATCACCCATTAAGGATGATGCTTACCAGTTAACTATTCACATCCTTAGTTCTAGTATCATATTAGTTAGAAAATTACCTTACAGGTAAGAAAAATGACCTTTTCCCATACTATGTCTCTTCTATTTTTAGTATTTTCAGACCCTGCCAGCACAAGAGGCAGAGATGCTTATTTAAATGTAGATTTTTTGAGTGAGACATCCATGCCAAGCGAGCGCTGGCGTTCTACATTGATAGGATCAAGCCGATCAAGCCGTTCCGTAAATCACAACAATTGTTTATTGCATTTGGGGACAGGGTGAAAGGGTCGCCTATTTCCACACAAAGGCTATCAAGATGGGTGGTGCAATGCATCACGGAATGTTATCAACTGACTGGTAAAACCCCACCCAGGGTGAAGGCACACTCTACCAGGGCGCAGGCGTCCTCGGTAGCCTTTGGTGCCCAGGTACCAATCGCAGAAATTTGCAGGGCAGCCACTTGGTCTTCCCTTCACACATTTGCAACACACTATGCGCTACCTCAGCAGGCCAGGGAGGATGCAAGGGTGGGCTCTGCAGTCCTCGAATCTGTGATGTAAATATGTAAATTTATATCCGGTTATCTTTGTTATTAATTGGTGCCTTGTCAGTGTTGCATTGTTCAAATAAATCCGTTTATTGTTCACCTTTCTTCATGACTCTGGTGGTATGACTGCTCCGACCCTTCCTTCGTGGGGTTAGCTTGGTAGTCACCTACTTCGAATGGACATGAGCAACCACTCGAAGAAGAAAAGAACGGTTACTTATTAGTAACTGTTGTTCTTCGAGATGTGGTGTTCATGTCCATTCGACTCCCACCCTACCTCCCCTTCGTCGGAGTGTCCGGCAAGAAGGAACTGAGGTGGGGCAGCGCCAGCAGGGGTACTTATGCTCCGCCATGGCGGCGCCACTCCAGGGGGCGCCCTGCCAGCGCTACGGGTACCGCTAGGGAAAACGCTCTGGAAGATGCGGTGTGCACGCCTTCTTCGAATGGACGTGAGCAACACACCTGTAACTGTTGTTCTTAGAGATAAGTAACCATTCTTTTTTTCATCAGCATTGATGCTGATGTCTTCTGCTTTTTCTTACCTACTGGTATAATCAAAAGATAACTAAAATAACACATTTTGAGGGGAAAATACTGAAAGACAAAATCAAATTTTGTACACCTCTTGCTATGTGTGTTGTTCTTCTAAGCTTATTTGCTAATCTTTATTTGATTGCTGTTTTGATCATCCTGCATTTTGGCCCTAACAGGGAGCAATAGAAAAAGTGAAGGAAAGTGATAAATTAGTTGCAACCAGTAAAATAACACCACAGGAGAAGCAGAACATGGTGAAGCGTGTAGGCACCATGGCTTATGCATTACAAGGTAAAACAAACTTGAAGTTAAATGATGATGTCTCAATTTGAAAGATGAGTTCAGATGATTTTTTTTAAAAGGCTAACTCTGTGCTGCACTAGTAATAAGACTACTTAGTTCTTATGTAGCACTTTTCATCCATAGAGCTCAACGAGTTTTCTAAAGTAGGTTGGTATTATTCCATTTTACAGTTAGGTAAACTGAGGCATAAAGGAACAGTGGCTTACCCAAGGTTATGAGCAGGTCACTGACAGCCAGGAGTAGGATCCAGGCCTCTTGTGTGCCAGTCCAATGCTCTAGCCACTAGACAATGCTGCCTCCCAAGAAGAATTGCTATTAAAATTTGCTTTCCACCTGTATTTGCTGTTGAATATTCAAATCTGACAAAAAGCAAATGTTGTTTTACTACATACAAAAATACTTGTTTTTTTTAATAGCCAAAATTTTAGAGTTGGTTAAAATACATTTTTCTTTCAAAGTACAGGAGTGAGTAGTAGGAGTCCTTTATTGGGGGAGAGCTGTACTCTGAACAATTACCATTCCAAAAAAATTTAAGTTGTTAATGATAATCTTCTGTAACTGAACATAGAATCAGAAGATGATTTGATGCAGCCATTTTAATTTAGAAGAACTAATTAATTTGTGAACTGGACATGTTAACTCTTGATGGGAAGTTAGAACCAAACTCTGTCAAGCACAGAGGTGGGCAAAGGGGCCTCCACGGACTGGATCTGGCCCGCCAAGCAGGTGGATCTGGCTTGCGGAGGCCCTGCCACTCCCCCGTCCCCAGGCCAATCAGAGCCTGGGGGGCAGGAGGGGCATGGAAAGTCTCACTCTCTGCACCTGTCCTGCAAGCACCATGATTGGTGCAGATTGGTTTGAGAGCAAGGGAGTGTGCAAAGTCTCCTCCTGCCCTGCAATGGGCACATGGTGTTTAGAGTAAAAGTCCTGTTCATTCCTTGCAGGGCAGGGACAGGGAGTGCATGAGGTGGTCTCCATTTTTTTTTTTTTTTTTAGTGTGATCATTCTTCAGGAACTTGGCTATTTTTGCCCACAATTGTCTGGCTTATTAGCCTCGAATAACGCTGTTTCATTGCAGCAGATGAAGGGATATTGAAAACTTATTTAACTTGGAAAAAGAGTTAAATACAAAATACATTAAGGCCATGATTCAGGCAAACGTTTAAGTATGTGCCCAACATTAAACATGTGCACTAGTGCTTGTCTGAATCAGGATTTAAAACTAATGAAGGTCGTTAATTGCTTCTTAAGGGTAGATTTTATGTTGTGTTCTGTATAATTACTTCCATACCTATTCACTAGCCCGACTGCTAAATTCTATTGTTCTTTCAGAATCTGCAAGTTAAATAGGCAGTCTGGGTCAGTATTTGAATAAGAGACCAAGATGTTTCAATGAGCGTTGTTGAAGATGTAATAAGTCATGTTCTTCTGTCATTCCATACTGAGCCAATGTCTTAATACAGTATTGGGTGACTGCTGCTGACAGCGCTGTCTTTGCACTAATAAATAAAAATTACTATTCATAATGTAATGTCATTGCTAAATTCCATTTTAGGTTTTCTTATTTTGCCTACAGTTTTTAGATAGGATACAATATCATTTTTACCTCATTTAGTAAATTATGTTGCTGTGTGCTATTTTGTACTTGCTGATTGATTAACATCAAAGGTGGCTGCATTTCATTAGTGATCTGATCTGTATTGTGTGACTTGATTTGTTTGTACAGTAATTTAAGTTCTATGGAGGAAAGACACTATGAAAGTGCAGAGTGGAAGTATAGAATGCCAAAGTTAATTGCACTAACTGGGTTTGGCACTGAATTTGGTATTTAAAAACAAGACTGCACTCCTAGTCAACACAGTAACTAATCTGAACTAATGAAACAGCTCTTGTAAATGAGCACTTTTCTAAATTAATTTGTATCCTGTTGGATTACAGCTGAGATGAATCACTTCCACAGTAACCGGATTTATGACTACAATAACGTGATCCGCCTGTACCTGGAACAGCAGGCACAGTTTTATGAAACGGTAAGCTGCAGCCTTTCGTTGCCATTTACTAGTGCATGCTGTGAGGCCACTTATTTTGTTTGCCCAAAACGCTAGTTGTATATTAGTCATTTTGTGTGCACATCTCTGTAAAAGCAATTATTAGTATATTACACTCAAACTTCTTTAAAAGAACATTATTAAAGCTTCTAATTCAAGCACTAGAAATTAGGGTATGCTTGTGCTCCCTTAATGAGCAGTTCTTTTCTATTTTATTTTCTCTTTATTGTTTAATATGGGACCACATGCCTTATTTACTGCATGCTCTTCAAACCATGCTCTTAAGACAGACTTATTACTTGCCTCTCAGACTTTTTTTTGTGCTCAACTGAAGTCACTGGGAGCAATGCTTTGAACATATCAAGTACTTCATAATGCTAACTACTCTAAAAAATCAAGTCCAAGGCATTTGAAATGTAAAATTAAAGTGGCTACTTTTGACCATCTCTCTGTGCCTCATTTTTCTATTTGTAAATGGGAATAATACCCCTTACTAGTGTGCAGTAAATAAGGCCTAGAAATACACATTGACCAACAAGGAAAAAACAAAATATTGAATAGTTGCTCATTCAGTGAGCATCATCAGTCCAATATACTGAATGAGGCACGGTCCTGTGGAAAAAATGTGCAATAATGTAATCAAATACTACCATGAACAAAATGTCTCACTAAGTTTGCACTGGCGACCTTAATTCTGGTTTGAGTGTTTGACTTGGCATACATGATGTTCTCTTTAATGTCAGAGTTCCTGTGCATAACTTCTTAGGATTTTTCAAAAAGCAAACTGATAAAAACAGATTTATTATTGACACCCCAATGGTTCATCAGTAGGATAGGAGCCTTTTATAGTCACAGCACAAACTGTTGCCATTCAAACTATTGGAGTAACTAATAGCAATAATAAATTGTCATTTTCTGTGGAGACGAACACTAAAAGGTGATGAAAAACACACTTTGCCAGTGGGTTTCATGGATGTTTACTGACAGCAGAATCAAGAAACCTGGGTTTCTCTTCAGACTCTGGAGGGGAGTGTGTTTTGGTGGAAACACTTATCTACCTGTTTTGTACTCTTCGTTCCTTGTTTCAGTCCTATTCTTCTTGCCTATTTAGTCAGTCTCCATTCCTCAGGCTTCTTTTTGCAGGCCCGTTCTCCTGTCTTCCCAGTCTCCTGCCCAAACGTCTTCATCCAATCTTTGGGCCCCACTCTTCAGGTTTCCAATCAGTTTTTCCTCTTAATTTTTTCCCATCCATTGGTGAAATAAACTATGTGCTCCGTGGCATATGCAGGTGTGCACCACCAGTAGAAACATGTGCAGCAGTTGCCCAGATGCTCAGTTTACAAGGAACACTGCTCCCAATTGCACTCAGCCTTCTCCCAAGCTCCTGATCAAATTTGTCTTCTGCCTGCCCATTTCCTTCATTTGAGTCTATTGACCCAGCTACTGCAGCTGCACCCCATCTGTCTGTCAGATCTGTCTTCTGTTCCCAGTTCCCCTCTTCTGCCTATTGTTTTCCAGTCTTAGTCTTCCATTTCCTAATTGATTTTAAAGACCTTTCCCCCACCTGCTGCCAACTGGTTCCTAGCTTTGCCTCCCATTTCTACAACATTTCTCTTTCGCTTTCCATCCCCCTGTCAGTTTCTTTCCTCATCTCCAGTCCAGTCTTCCCAGAATCCTTGTCCTAAACCTGTGGTCACCAACCCGTCGATCACTATCGACCAGTCAATTGCGAGGCATTCAGGGTTCCCCCTCCGTTTTCCCCCCACCCCAAGAAGCCCCACTACCTACCTCCAGCGACAATGGAGGTAGTGCTGGCTTCCTGTGGGGTGGATGGAAGTCCTGCAGCTGCGTGCCACTTCTGGGGGGGGTTCTGGAAGTGCGCTGGCTGCTCCCCTCCCCCAGGTCTGTGGCATGCCAGGAACTTGTGGGGAGGAAAGGGGGAAGTCCCCAGAGGTGCACGCCGGGGCTTCCTGCTCCTACAGAGCAAGGGAGTCATCCCTGGAGGAGGCAAGCGCTGGGGCTTCCCTCCTCTGGGGGCAAAGGTGGGAGGAGTCCTGGGAGGAGGCGGGTGCGGGGGATTCCCTGTCCCCAGCAACAGCCTGTCCCCTGTTCCCACTGGCACCCTGTCCCCTGCTGCAGAACCCTGTCCCCTTCCCCAGTACCCACTGGCACCCTTCCCCAGTACCATGTCTCCTGCTCCCACCAGCACAGATGGGGCCACGTTAGTAAGGCTTGGGGGCAGGGGGGTTGGAGGAGTTATTTTTTTGCATCTCATTTGTGTGACCTCCAACTGACTTTTTGGTGGGTCAGTGACCCCTGACTCAAAACAGGCTCCCTGCCCTTCTCCTAAATAAAGACAATGCAGAAACTTTTTGTGTTTGACATAGTATTTTATTTAAAAATGAAGCCTGGCCAACAAGCCCCCAATTGGGGCCAAGCCCCCATCTGGCCACAGCATCATAACACTCCTGCACCACCACCACCCTAGACCCTAGATCTGAGCCTATCATACACTTGAGCCCCTCACATACCCCAACCCAAATTCTTGCACCCTCGCGTCCACAAGCCTGTGGCTTTCTTTGTACCCCAACCCTCCATCTCACCCCATCCCTCCCGGAGCTAGCATCCCCTTCTCCACCTCCTCCTGCATCCAAATTTCCTCCCAGAGCTTGCACCTCGCACCCCTCCCCACACCCAAATCCCTCATTCCCACCCCAGAGCCCACACCACCTGTCTCAAGCCAGTGAGGGTACGCCTAGACTGCAGGAGTTTTGCCATGCTCAATGCCTACTACATTTCTCACAATGCTGCTGCTTGCCTGGAGTTCCGTGGCTTTACTTGGCCTGGCTCCCCCAAAAAGAAAGGGAAGAAGGGAAAATAGTAATCAGATGGATGTAAACCAAGGGACTCATGATTTACAAGCTCCACGGGGAAAAGGAGAACCCCTGTTAAGGACTGAAAGCAAACTGATCACTCAGGTTTTTAACTCTTAATGTTTGCCATAATCACTGTGAAGGCCAATACTACCAAGACACTCTTGTTATGTTTGAGCGTACAGTAGTAAATGTTAATTTAAGATGCTTACTGTGCCAATGTAATATTAACCCTAGCCATTAGCCTGCTAATTCTGGAAGCTAATAAAACATTGTACCTCTGTGAGCAATTCTAATGGTATACAAGGAGATTCATTTTGTTCTGATAGCTCCTGCTGCTACTTCTGCTCCTAGACCTAATGTATTCTCTGAAAGCCATTGCACATCAAAGCTGGTGTGTCTGCTATTGCTTAAACCAAAGTTATCCAAAGTGCAGCCTCAGGCGATGCACCCCACAGAGACTTCATGCATCAGCATGCAGTGATCTCTCTCAATAAGTGCATCCTGGCTAAAGGCCACAAGCTTCATGTTAAACATAGAGGCTATGTCTAGACTACAGACTTCTTTCGGAAGAAGCTTTTTTTGGAAGAGAGCTTCCGGAAAAACTTCTTCCGAAAGAGAGTGTCCACACTGCAAAAGTGCATTGAAAAAGCGATCTGCTTTTTTGAAAGAGAGCGTCCGGACTGAACGGACACTCTCTCACATGTAAGCTGTGATTGCTATGGACGGAATGGCCACGAGGGCTCCTGTGGTTTTTCCTCTTCTTCCGATAGAACTCCCTCTTCCCCGTCCACACACACCTTTTTGCAAAAGAGCACTTTCGCAAAAAGGCTTCTTCCTCGTAGAATGAGGATTACCAATGCCAGAAACCCCTTTGTTCTTTCGATTTTCTTGCGGAAGAACACAAGAGCAGTTTGGACATTCCTCAACTTTTGTCAGAAAAACAGCTGGTTTTTTTTGACAACTCTGTAGTATAGACATACCCAGAGTGGCTACAATCAGCTCCATTTGATACGAATTAAGCGCAGTCCTTGGGCTCCTGGATAACTGCTAATCAGTCACCTGTTTAGCAAAGTTTGTGCTCAGGGCACATATTTGTCACAGAACTGGTTCAAGCATATTTTATCCCATCCACTCCCAGCTATAAGGCCCAAGATTTGGTATGAAATATTTTGTCTTAACTATTCCAAGTTCTTATGCATTGCCTGTTTGGAGGGTGGGGGCAATAGAGAATGTGTCAAAAACTGATAGATGTGCTGGGGAGTTTGGGGATTTGTAGCTAGAAGTGTTCTTCTTAAACAGGAGGAGAGGAGAATCTGCAATGAGCCAGGGTTACCAAAAAGGAAGGAGACATCCTAATTCCCTAGGATGCTCAAGTTATTGCCAGCATGAAAGCTTGTGTTCCACCCCGCGTGGCATCACATTAGCAGGAAACTTTCAGCTGGCCTCTGCCTGGGGTGGTGATCCACTTGGCTATAGGTTTGGCATCATTGTCTGAACCCCCGAAGAATCAGACTGAAAGCAATTTCTGACTGCCTTTGAAGTAAGGAAGAATGACACGCCTTTCTGAGTTTGAGATAAAATGTGTTACAGACTTTGGAAAAACAACTTAGAACCAATAATAATTGGACCCAGTGCTTTTTTTGTGATGGTACGCCCCAGGACGGCGTACCGGCACCTATTTTTCCTGCATGATTTAAATGAATTGCATTCTCCTTGGGCGTACCGGCACCTCCTTTCCTAGGGCGGCTGGGCTCCTGGTGGAAGCCCACTCGGGACACGTGGCTCTTAAAGGGGCTGCGACGGCATTTTGGCTCCTGGGGTGGCTTTTTATTTATTTATTTTTTTTGCTCAACAGCTTTCCCCCCCCTCAACAATTTTCCCCCGAGAGTACCGGTGTACCTTTTTTCTTACAGAGCACTGATTGGACCCATCTTGCTATGAAATGCTTGAAAGGCCTTGGTGTGACCTTGCAAGATGGAGATTTCCCTCTATGCACAGGTCTCATTTGGGAAGTTCATTGGTGTGTGGATCTTCTTATGGGGCCAAATATGTCCATCATTTACACTAGTGCAAACCTGCTACTATAGTGGTGTTGCACAGATATAA